GGAGGGGGCTGCGTCAGGGTATTGTTTACTCTTGTGTGTTGTAAAAACGCCCACCCTCCCACCCTTCTGTTTCCCATCCTTGTGGCTTTCTGCTGCGGATCCATTTCCGTGTTTCATTTGGAAACAATGGACCTTCCTTTTCCTCAATTCTTAATCAGTGATCCGTGGCGGAATGGCCATTTGGATATTTTACTATTCTTCAGATTATTCTACGAAGCTTCGAATATTTAGTAAAGTAATCAAATTGAGACCGTGGGACCTTTGAGATAGTGGGTTTTGGTTCTCACCTCTGCGATAGTGAGTTCGGTTCTCGCTACGGACTCATGTGAAAAGAGTCCGTCAACGCTCTGCCGAAAGTCGTGGGTTTTCTCCAGGTACTTCGTTTTCCTCCCACAGGGCAAGTTGACAGGGTAGGTTAGGATAAAAACACAGTTAGGAAAGTAATATCACTATTATTGTAAAGATAAATAGTCCAAGCTAAGTAAGTAACATAAGCATAAGCGTAATACTTGATCTAATCAGTCACTGAAAAGCCCCAATGGGGAGTGAGCTGAATAGTAATGTAATCTAATGATTTTAATGATAACGTTTCGCGGAAGTAAGGCCCTTCCCTTCGTACGACAAAAAAGGTTTATATGCAAACCTAAGTCACCTCTCTACACAATTGCAAAACAACACACTTGTATTCTGTTGCCTCTCAAGATTTCCGCAGAGAAGTGAGAACCATTCATTATTAAAAAGCTGACCGTAAAGTTTCCGCGGACCGCCTCTGCAGTCTATCGGATTACTTTTCATGTGAACAAAAACAGCCATTTCACGTTTCACGTGTAAAAATTAACCATTTCACGAAAATTAGAACCTACGTTTTTAACTGCATGTGTCAAGATATATGATGCTCTGGAAGCCCAGCAAACTTCAAAGTTAGAAAATACAGGTGTCTCAAAAAAGGCGACTTTAGAAATTCACCTTATTGTTATAATATGAATGCCCGAGTACTATACTGAACTTGAGTACTATACTGAACCATGCACAAATCCTTTGTCTCAACTTCATTAAATCAGGGTGCGATATATAAAATTTCGCGTACTTACGTACCGGAGGTACGCCAATATTACAGTGTGGAACTTCTTTGTTTTCACTGAGCCAAGTACCACGTAGGCCAAGCCATATAATTTAATCGGAAAATGTGGAAGTCTGAGAGGACTTGGCATTAATTAAACTCGATTGGACTGATGTGATGAGAACTCCTAGTTTTAGGTTACTGAATGGATACTGGTTTTGGAAGACGTACGCAGTGATATTGACTCCTGTTATAACGAGAATATTTAATACTTCTCTGAAGAGTGGGAAGATTCCGAATGTTTGGAAATGAGCTGATGTGATACCCAGCCCAAAAGAAAACTCAATTCCTGTTCCAAACTTAGACCTATCTCATTAACAGATATCATTATGCGCCTATTTGAGAAAGGTGTGTATCAAAGTGAAGTTGCTGATACAGTGTATATAATTATATTGGGGATGATCAATTTGCATGTAAAAAAGGGCATAATTCTACCATGGCCCTAATAAAATATCAACATATATGTGGTTAAAAAGCCTTGATGAAGGTGTCTAATCTCATTTGACTTTAGTAAAGCATTTGATAGTGTCCCACATGACATTTTGTTTAATAAAATCATGAAAATACCCATTAATCGATATATTATAAACTGGATGATTGACTTTTTGAACAACCGCAGACAGAGAGTGAGAGTTGGTGGTGTCACTACTGAATTTCTAGACATTAATCGTGGCGTACCCCAGGGTACTGTACTTGGACCTGTAATGTTTACTATAGTGGTTAATGATATCAAGGCGGTGAATCTCTCCAATGATTTATCTAAATTTGCTGATGATATTGCAATAATAGCACCAGTTTATGATTACGAAGATTCAGCTGGGGATGAAGTAGAAAACATGAAACTATGGTCAAACGAGAATAGAATGTCTTTAAACATGGAGAAAACCTATGAAATGATAATTCGTAGAAAAGTGTCTACTCCCCTTCCGGATCACATTCCATCGATAAAACGGAAAGAATGGCTCAAATTATTGGGTGCCACGATGGAAGAAATACCTGGAAAATGGGATAGACATTTTGAAGAGATGATGAAAAAACCTAGTAGAAGAATGTATATTCTAAGAGTTTGTAAACATTACGGATTCTCTACGCATGAATTGGATCTTCTCTTCAATAGTCTTATAGCCTCTCTTCTCACCTTTACAGCCGAAGTTTGGGGTGGAGCATCGTAAAACAAATACGTAAGTCAGATTGATAAGTTTGTCAATCGTGCCTATAGAAATGGTTATACAGGCAACAGATCAGATTTTAAAGCATCAATATCGAACAGAGACAAGAAATTATGTTCAAGAATTATAAATGATGATAAGAATGCTTTACGCAATCTTTTACCTAGTAAGTTAAATCGACCTTTAAGACGGAGAGGTCATGACTTTGTCTTTGAACTACCAATTGTTAAAACTGAGAGGTTCAAAAACGCGTTTATAAATAGATGTCTTTTCAATTTTATATAAACTATATATCTATATACTTATACCTTAGAATTTTAAAGTACTAAAAAATTGATGTAAATAACAGTAAGAATCTAATTGTATAGTATTCTTAATATGTAAACTCAGACGTTTGCTTTGAGTATTGAAATAAAGACTTTTATTATTATTATTATTATTATTAGCATACTGGATGCTGATGGGTTGAGAGGAGTACAATTAATTCATTAATTAATTGTACTGCAGTACAATTAATGATTTTCCCCAAATGGCGGAAAGGTATTTTGAACACAGATGTGAAATGAAATTGCCCTAGAGGAACTAGATGAAAATACGAACAAAAGCACCAAATTTTGATTGAATTATGTCTGGCAGGACTGGGCTTTGGCGAGAGAATATAATGTTGACATTGAGAAGTATCCAATTTTGTCATGCTAATAATAAACATTAATTAGTAAACATGCGACGTTGCTCGTACAACTAGGGATTAATAGTACTCGTGATGTTTGGAAATTTGCCTCAATGGCCGTAAAAAGAAGTTTTAAAAGAACGTAAACATATCCATGCTGGTTAAAATAAACAGCAGCTTTGGCATTTTAGTAAAATTCTTCAATTGTTCTCAAAACTTAGGGCATTTATGGATAATTTGGGTAAAAATTGGATAATGGGGGTAAAACTTAGGCAGCTCATTAATATTCTATTTTGTGGCTATCGATCCACTATCGAAGAAAAATGCATGCCAAAACCTATACTCAGCTGGGGCCCCAGCGAGTAATGAGATACACCCACTGAGCTTAGCCTGCGTGTCAGACTCTATGCTTGAAATTGATCGTTCCAGAAAAGATCCACACTCCCCCACGGAGGAAATTTCTGCCGTCCGTCCGGAGGTGAGAAAAAATTGTTTCTGATAATAGTAAATGTATTAGGACATCCGAAGGTAGACTGCGAGCGGTCCCTCCTTTCCGCGGGTTTAGATTTCCGGGCATGCGAGGGACTGCAGACAACACATCAAGAAATGAAATCCGCGTTGCCCACACAACTCAAAATTCCCATTGGTCGAAATCGATACGCCTGTCAATCAAATCTGATATGTAGTAATTATGCTATAAATAATTTCCAGAGTGAATGTTGATTGTCTTGATTTTATACAGGGTGTGTCAAAATAAAGGTAATCGAACTTCAGCGCGCTATTGTATCTGAATTACTGCGTATGGACGAGATTTTTTCATCTTCGGAAAGATCAGGCTTTTAGCTGTTGAATGATATGTTCTTCATGTCAAATGGATAAAAAAATAAGCAAGTACGAGTCCGATAAAAAATGCTAGTCAGAATCGCATATTTTCACCGTTGTATTCAGTACTATTAAGTTGATGAATTTCACTTCAGTAAACTGTACGCACATGTTCATAATTATTATTAAGTGGAAATAAATCTTATCTAAACTACGACAAGTTCGTGTGATTAATTGCTTTTTTTTTGTTATGCACTGCTTTAATTAGGCACAGAGGTAAAAATATGCTATTCTGACTGACATTTTTTATCGGACTCGTACTTGCTTATTTTTTCTCCATTTGGCATGAAAAACATGTCATTCAACAGCTAAAAGCCTGATCTTTCCGAATATGAAAAACATTCGATTTCCAAAAGGCGGATTTCCAGTCCTCGCACGAAGCTCCTCGCAGCTCGCTGCAAGCGATGCATGAGCACTTTCATCCAATCACAATGCTAAACAGTTCATTTTAATTAGATGCAAGCACTCGCAGAGAGCTGCAAGGAGCTTCGTGCGAGGACTGGAGAACCGCCTTAATTCAGGTACAATAGCGCGCTGAAGTTCGACTACCTTTTCTATACTCAATCTCGTACCCAGAGCCATCGTTGAACGATGGCTCTGGGTACGAGATTGTTCTATACTGTAAATAAACATGATATTAACGGTTCCTATTGGATAGATTTAATTGGATATAAGTAATGTTTATGCAAAGGCGGAGCCAACTTGACAAGAGCGAAAAGTGGGCGTATTTCGTCTCTTGATGTGTTGTCGGCGGTCCCTCCGTTCTCCGGGGGACTACTCGCGCTGCCTCGTCCCTCATCGCTTCAGTTGGGAATAGAGATCAGTGGAAAAACAATGGGACCGCGGGGCTTAATGGGAATGCGGTCTAATCCGAAGGGGGTAGGGGGGTTAACTAATTCTAATTTCCTCCGTGGTGGTGGTATGGATGTTTTGTGGAATGACCCAATAGGGCCTGCTACTGAAGTCGATGAAAAGTGGAGTCATTTGGATGCACGAAAATAACAACCAATCAAAACGGCGATTGTTAATTAGTTTATCAAAGCTAATTTAAAATATGACACGCAAAGACAGTAATTAATGGGAATTTTGCGTACGATTCGTACGCATAAATCCACTTTTCATCGACTTCAGTAGCAGGCTCTATTTCAAGCATAGAGCATCCTCTCACGACCACGAAATACCAAATTTCCTTGAGATTGTTTCAGGCCCATATTCAATGGTCTGCCACACAGGCGAGACATTAAATGGCACAACTCGGGACTCTTTATTTGTTTAATCAAGTGACCCATGTTTGGAAAGATCCAACCTTGTAGAGCCTTAAATGGATGCCGAAACCCCTTCAGCATACATGTTGAAAAATTTTTAACCCCCTAATATTTTGTGAAGTATCCACCACTGTTGTTAACCCATTATTCTGAAATGCATCCTACAGTACTTTGTTATTTTACTCTCTCTAATACCATCTGGACAACTTTATCTTTCATTAACATTGCATGGTCTTGTCTACAAATAGGTATATTAATAACACTATTTTTGTCTTGTTTCAAACATAGCACCATGCCCTGGGATCACATAATCTGCCAATTGTAAAATTTTTGCACGATTTTCTTCTTGTTGTTTGACACATTCACTTAAACTCTGCCATTCATTCTCGTCATGCTCCTTTTCAAACAGGTCACCACACACCACAACCGTACCATACTCTTCCGCATACCGAACAAGCACACTGACGTCGGCATGTGTGTGCCCTGGTGTTGGAATGATCTCAATATTCTCATCTATCTTGTAAATATTCCCACCTTTAAAATCATGTTCGGCATAACTATCACCATCCATGATGTCATGTCCAACAATAAATTTTGCATCGGGGAATAAATTTAGGTTTCCGACATGATCAACATGACCATGTGTACATATAACATAATCAATATCTGATGGCGCTAGCCCGTGATCCTGCAGACGTTTCATAATTTTGTCTTTGTCATGAGGGCTTCCTGTATCAACAATTATTCTTTTTGGTCCAGTTATCAATGTGCTTGTCCCATTTGCTCTAAAGGTCCCATCTTTGTCTTCATAGGAATAACCTTCCATTAAAATAGAAATTCTGTATTTTTCTGGTGAAACAGCCATTGTTTTGATAGAATTTAAACAGAAAGATCAACTTTTCACACTCTCTGACTCCTTCGGATTAAACACAGTTAATTGACCAACCACTTTATAATACATCTTAAATGACGTTTCTACTCGTAATAGGTTTGTCGCACTGACCGTTGGAATCGCTGGCGTGATTTCGTGCTCAACGATTTTGCATTTCGTTTATATTTTTTCTCCGAGAAAAACAGGAAAATGTTGTTTGTTTATGGATAAAATGTTGTTTAAATCATGAAGATATAGTGTTTCGAAGAGTTGTATTATAGCAACATGAATATGGAAGATTTTAATCCACGCGTAGATGAGAGTAATCTTCAGACAATAAACTTGTCTTCGTCGGAAGAAGAATCGGGTGCATGTGGTACGTGTATATAAATATATAAAATATCGTATAAAATTGTTACTTTTATGAGACACAATTTAGCTATATATGCATACGTTTTTGTTCGAATTTAATGCCTTAATCTTTTAATATTTCAAGCCCATGTTTGCTATATATAGTTGAAAGTGTGCTTTCAAAATTGTATGTGATTTATTGGTTACAAATGTAATTTTGAATAAGGGGCCACGTCCATATTCATGTTGCCACGCAAAACGTCAAATTGATGTTGTGGGTGGGTGGGTAGGTAAATTTTCTAACAGTGTGATGTTTTCACCGTAGCAACATAAAAATTTTGTTATAACTTACGTTTTTGTGGACTTTTTGTACTTTTATTTTTATGTTCGCCCTAGCCAGCGTGGCCGGCTCTTTTATAAGTAGAGCCTGCCCGAAAGTCCTAGTCAAAATAATGCCGCCCACTTAGTTAATATTCCATATTAACACCGCCCACTCGAAATAGTTTTGTATAAATTGATGACTTAAAATTTTAATTGTTGCATATTTACTATAGCCTGCGCTACATGCTTTCAATAAACTTTTTACAATAGATGGATAGCGATTCATCTGCCTGGAAATACAAGCCAAACGTCGGCATTTCTAGCGAAGGCCCTTCGACTTTGTCTGGAAATTAGTAGTAGACGAAGACCGTTCAAAATTATATTATGCTTTGCACCTGTATGGCTGTACTACAGTTATAAATATTGCAGTATTAAATATAATGACTTAGGAAAAGTTTAAATAGACCCCTTCCCGTGTTATACACGTTGGCAGGCAAATGTATTTTAAAAGCTCCAAAGAGAGCTTCGTATTATTATGGTGTATTAAACACAATGGGGAATGTATTGTTTTATAATCGTAATTTGCCAGCCAGCAAAATATAAACAAGGCAAGGACAGCCAAGGTTTTATACTCTATACTATAGTGACCATACGGTAAAATCATATGACATATGCAGTAATAGCAGTATGACTTGCCGTATTCTGTTTAGATACCGGTATATGTTATACATTTTACACTTTGTCTTTTGAATTTTATATTTTAGCCGACAGGTTTACACTTTAATATAGCGATGCCGTTTGTTTTTACTGTATTTATTTTTAAATATTTGAATAAATTAGTGTAACATGTCAATCAAACTGTCGTCAACGTAAATTCAGCCAATCACAATTATCAGCGGCTGGCTGCCGAAAGTCATCAATTTGACTGGGGCTTTCGGGCAGGCTCTACTTATAAAAGAGCCGGCCACGCTGGCTATGTTCGCCCTTATCTTTCTGCTTAAATTTGTTTCCAAGTGCTTTGCCGATGAAATTGCAAAAAATTCACCCAAAGTATTTCCACCGAAATGTTTATCTGCTGCGCGGGTATTTGAGTTTCCCAAGCTGATGGCGACTTGAAAACAAAACAAAAAGATTTGTTTGCATATTTTCCAGAAGTAAGTAATTATTAAAAATCTGGTAATGACACGCTTGACATTTTCACTACACTGTAAAAACGCCCAGCCTGTAACAATGTTGTTGAAAAAAGGCCTGAACAATATTTTGCTGCCCATATTGTTCCTGGATGCTAACAATATTGTTCAGCCAAATAATTTTGGCGTGGCAACATGAATATGAACGTGGCCTCTAAAAGTGTAATTCAAATCCTGTTTTCCATTAGAGAATTTGATTTTTTCCATTTGTTGCCTTTGATTTTGTTGATGTGATAAGTGATGCCAAGTCATACAAGCATGCAATTGTCATTCTGGGGCATATGAAAATTACTGCTGACATCACATTTGTCTTCATTTATTTTATGGCAAAATTTCTTTATGTGTGTTTATATGATTACATATGTGCCTGTATGGAATGAGACTTTTTGTGCGCCGGACATGTGCGCCAATTACTAGTAAATATATTGCTGTACAGGTAGTTGTGTGCCGGACATGTCCGGCCTAGGCTGGGGTGGTTCTTGAAAAAAACCAAAACCGAAAACCGTCAGGAAACAACCGGTTTTTAATCTATAAATAACACACAGACATAAAATTGTGTAGCAAGTGTTTTTATTATGTGAAGAATTTTGGTTTTAGATGCTTAATTTAATATCAAAAGCTTACAGAGGTATAAAAATACAAGTAAGAAGACAATGTTAAAAGAATGTATTTACAAGTTTTCAGCTAGGATTAGCTGAAACATTAGCCTTTTTATCTTGTTTTTGCCCAGTTCTTTGTCTTTTTCGGTGTTCGGTTTTTCAGTACTTGTACTTTGGCAAAACTGAAAAGCCGGTTTTTAAAACAACCCGGTATTTTCCGGAAAACCGAAAAACCGCATCAGCCTAGTCCGGCCCACAGTGCTTACATTACTGGCATATGTGCGAATCAATGTTTGCTGCAACTTGGATCGAACCCAATCTAAAGAGTAAGAGCCTGGCACACGTTCCAGTCGTCCAGTATTTCCTTCACATGACATATGCTAGGGGATGAAAAATGAAAGAAATATGATGAAAAATTGTCAGCTGAATAAACTGTGGTCCATTTAAAATTTGCCCACTTGAGCCCTAGAAATGCAATTTTAAGCTTCAAATTTATAGGTACTGTACTCAGTACTGTATGTGCAAAAGCTTTATTAAAAGATTTAGATCGAGGACGCGGACATCAAAGATGACGTGAAAATGGCGTGTTGTGCCCATGTATGGATATGCCACGCCATTTTGACACCATTTTCATGTCGTCTTTGACATCCGCATCCTCGATCTAAATCTGTCTATTAAAGGCACAGTTCAGCCTTTTGAACGATGGTTTTTAAGGCGCATTTGAGCCCTTTTAATTGAAAAAGCTAACTAGGAAAATCAATTAAGCATAATTCAAAATCAGTAAACTCAATGTTTTTAACCATATAAATGTTTTAAAATGTTAAAAACATTAAGATTGCTGATCTTGAATTATGCTTAATTGATTTTTCTAGTTAGTTTTTTCAATTAAAAGGGCTGAAATGCGCCTTAAAAACCATCGTTCAACAGGCTGAACTGTGCCTTTAAGTACAGTATAACCTGAGATCTGGCTCTATATTTTTAAAAATATAGCCTGACACAAACATTAATGCAATAGCTTTCCACCCACTGGGCAGTTGCGATATTGAAAAAAAATTGATATATCGATATCGAAAAAAAAACATCGACTATATCGAATTATGCAAATGAGAAGACGTAATTTAGTCAACTTGCATGTATACACATCACAAACAGTTAAAAAGAAGTGCATGAAACCAGTCATGGTACATCTCAAAAATTTATTAACAACGGTTTATCCATTTATAAACGTTTAAAGATATATAATGTTAAGCTTAAAATATATAATGTTTATAAAATTTCAAACGTTCAATGCCACTGTTTGGTAATCTTTTGTGGTCACAGTTTCTCTGTTTTCGCATTTAATTTCAATTGCCCATGCACTTGTATCATAAATTTGCAATTGCCACCATGCGCATGTTGTCTAAGCTTCACTGGTGAAAACAATAATTGCCAAATAATCAGAGATTAATTTTTTTTTTGTGTTGGTGTTGTGTACTCAGGTGAATAATATGTTTGCGATGTTACTCTGAGTGCATATCCACACCGGGCGAGCTTGAAAAATATGCCCGGCCACGGTGGGGTTCGAACCTACGACCTTTGGAATACTAGCCCAATG